TGTCCGGCCGGCCGCTCGCGAGCCCTCCGGGGCAGCCTAAATGTCCCCAAGATTCAAAGACGCACGTGGTGGGGTCACCCTGGTGTCACATAGTTGATATTACCGCCTCGGGAGAGGGCTCCGGACCGCCCAAAGATCCCCCATTGTACGGACAGGAGAGGGGGCTTTCAAGTGCGTTACTGGTTGGGACCCAGTTTGGGGGGGCCCTGAACCCGCCCACCAGAGCAAGTCACCTCGGTTCTTCTGGGTCAGAAAGGCACACCTTGATTTCCCCACCGAACTCGGTTCCCGTGACCCTTTACAGATGTAAACCCAAGCCTGTGAGAAGCTGACCAGAGACGAAGCCGATTACTTGGAGGGAGTCCACCTAGAAGAGACTGTTAGGTCGGGGGGGAAAGATGCAGAAACCTATGGAAATAGAGGACCCCCGTTTTTGTAAAACGAAGACAGATCATTTGTCTTTACGCCTGTGTGTAATCATATGGGCGTGGAAAGATATGCAGCTGCAAGTGGGGGAGGGGACCAGGGCAGGCTGGGTTTTGAGCAAGAGCATACATTTAAAAACCCGAAATAATTCATCCATAAAGGTCCTGGATAGAAGATGCTGTCCCAGCACGAGGCCAGAGGAGAAAAGCCCAGGGAAGAGGTCCCACTGGTTAGGCGTCAAAACCAGTTCCTAAGTAGGAGGAAAGGGACACTGGTCATCAGAACCACTGGGTATATTTGATATCCGGGTGTAGACAAGTGTGTATAGTAAACGGTGCTTATTGAATTCTGGTTACAAACAAAACAACACACACACACCCAAAAAAAAAAAAAGCTGCTCCAGGTTAAAAAGCAACCTCCAGGTGATTTACAGGGAGGGGAGGGGAGGGGCAGACGAGGAAGGAAATGGCTTTCAGGTGACTTTGTAACAGGATCCCGACGGAAGGTGGGGTGAAGGCAGCGGGGCTCCTGGCTGCTGGCTGGGGGAGGGGGAGGTACAAGCTGGGTCGGGCCCGCTGGAGACGCGGGACCCACATTCCTCAGGGAGGGGGGTCCGCGGCAGCCTCGCCGAGCCCTCCTCTGGCCGCCCGGGAAGGTGAAAGCCGAGAATGTGGAAGGGGGTTTGGAGGTGAAGAGGCGCCACGGCTCGACCAGGTGCAGCGGGCCAGCTCCGCCTGGAGGACAGAAGACCCCGTCCCTTCTCGCCTTCCGTCTGGATTTGATCCCGCTTTCTTCCCTGCTCACCTGACTCCTGTCAGTACCTTCCTGCCCACCTCATAGTCCAGCTTCCAGAGAAGGCCCCCGATTCAGCTAAGCTTGAGCGCACCCCTCACTCCTCCCCAAGGCAGGCAATCGTGTTAATGACAGTAATGAGGCCTCACTGAGCCAATGCTCACCATGTGTAGGTTCTATGCTGTTTACATGGTCTCCCTTCAACCTCACAGGCGCCTCCTGAGCGAGGAACTGTCCTTATCCCTATTTCACAGATAGGACAACCGAGGATGGGAGGGATCTAGCAACTTGGCCAAGACTGCAGAACCTGCAAAAGGAGCGCCAGACGAAATCCCAGGTAGGTCCAACACGAGTGCTTCCTCCGTGCTGGCCATTATCCCAAGCCCTTTAGAGAAGCAGTTGCAGTCACAGCAGAAACTGCCAGGCAAGGTCACACACTAGTGTGGTAGACCTGGGATTCATAAGCAAAACACTGCTCTCCACCACCACCTAGTCTATCTTTTCCTCACTTGCTATATTCAATTCAGCATTTATTATAATGTCCTGCGTTGTTTCTAATTGTTTTTTTTAATGTATGTTTGTTTATTGATTTCAGAGAAAGAGGGAGAGAGAAACATCAATGATGAGAGTCATTGATTAGCTGCCTCCTGCATGCCCCCCACTGGGGATGGAGCCCGCAACCTGGGCATGTGCCATGATCAGGAATCGAACCGCCATCTCCTGGATCATAGGGGAGATGCTCAACCACTGAGCCATCTCCAGCTGGGCTCTGATTGTTTTAATGTATGTACAGCTTATTTCCAAAAAAGACTAAAATCTTTCCTTATGGTATCAGTCATATAGGAAGCACTCAGTAAAGCAATGCTGAATTCAGATGAAATAACCCAAACCGTTTGCGAGAAATCACACAATCTCACCTCTAAGAATAAAAATCTGTGTCTAGGCCCAGGCTCCGTAGGCTGCAGCCCCTCCACAACTCACAGTCTCACCCCTTCCTGCCTCTACCCATTCTTGCTTTAGTAGCGTCACACTCCCTGCTATTAAGTCATTTATTATTATAATAATACCTTGTGCCTCAGTAATGCCTTTAATCCAAGATCTCAAAGTGTTCTAACACATACAGATTAATTCATCTTCATAGTACCCCCCACTGAGATGGGGAGATGGAGGTATTTCCCCCATTTTATGGGTGAGAAAACCAAGACAACATAGAGCAGAAATGATTCACTATGGAAATCAATGGCATGGTTTCTTCTCCAGGCCCTTTCCCTCCTCCTTCCTAACTCTTGGCTGCCAACATTTGCATCAAAATTTCAAATCCCAGAGACAAAGGCCATTGAGTTTTCACAATAAAGGACATTTCCAAACTGTCATTTCAGCTGCTCTATTGTGGTAGACCTCAGGAGTGGGAGGGGATGTAAACATGGTGAAGGTCCCCAGGGCTTTGTGCCTCCAGCCCTGAGAAGGAGCCTGGGCTGGCTGAGATGGAGAAATGAAATTCCAAACTTGGAGATTTCCTGTCAAAGGTGACATAAAGCTCCGCCATACTTCTATGTGACAAAGCTTTCAGAGTTTCAAGTTGCTTTTTTTTTTTAATGTTTTTATTGATTTCAGAGAGAGGAAGGAAGAGGGAGAGAGAAAAAGAAACATCAATGATGAAAGAATCATTGATTGGCTGCCTCCTGCATGCCCCCTACTGGGGATCAAGCTCACAACCTGGGCATGTCCCCTGACTGGGAATCCAACCTCCATCTCCTGGCTCATACGTCAATGCTGAACCCCTGAGCCATGCCTACCAGGCTCATCAATGTTTCTATCTCTCCCTCTCCCTTCCTCTCTCTCTAAAATCAATAAAAACATGTATTTTTTTAAATGAGCAAAGGTTCTAAATAGACATTTCTCCAAAGAAGATATACAGATGGCCAATAAGTACATGAAAAGATGCTCAGCATTGTTAGCCTCTCTGAACATGCAAGTCAAAACAATGAAATGATCACTTCAAACCCTTTGGGATGGCTAAAATAAAAAACACATAAAAATAAGGTTAATGAGAATGCAAAGAAATTAGAACTCTTATGCACTCCTGATGCATGAACTTTGGGAAGTAGTCCGGCAGTTCCTCAAAAGTTTCAAGATAGTTACCAGTCGACCCAGCAATTCCACTCCTAGGTATCTACACAAGAGAAAGGAAAACACCTATCCACACACAAAACCTTATACATGAATGTTCATAGTAGCATTATTCATAATAGCCAAAAGGTAGAAACAACCCAAATGTCCATCAGCTGATAAACAGAATTAATATCCATACAATGGACTGTTATCCTATTACATCATAGATGAACTTTAAAAAGATTATGCTAAGTGAAAGAAGCCAGTCACAATGGGTTGCATATGATTCTGTTGTAGGCGGCTGGAACGGCACCAGGAATTAGACCTGTGGGGTCAGACTCGACCTGGGTTCAGCAACCTCAGTACTTGAGTTCTTGCTAGAAAAGAATTCAGAGCCAAGACTCAGTTACAGAGGTAAAGGAAGGGCCCTTGGAGCTTGGGAGTGAGGAAGGTAATGGTAATGCGCCTGGGGGTTGGAGGAGACTTGGGCTTGCTCCCCAGAGGGAGAG